CTGCATTTTATTGTTGCTCTAATGAACTGAGTCTGCGGCATGAGGGGGGTCAGCCTATACATGCTGGTAACCCAGCCTGGCTCAGGTGTGTGCACCTGATTCGGTGGTTGGAGGAACCCAGCCCCACTGAAACTAAATCCTGCAAGGTAGCTCCATTGGGGGTGAGGACTTGCAGAAGAGAGAGAGAGACAGCTCCATATAGAAACACAAGTGACACAAGCAGCACATTGATACAATTACAGAGACTCCAGAAACATACCCCTAATAAATGAGCGCACCCCAAAGTGACAGGCAAATCTGGCAACAACCCCCCTTGGAGGAGGGCCCCTGCATGTCAGGGCATAAAGCAATGGAGGAAAAGACTGCAAACCAGAACCACAGAACAGGTTCAGGGCCCAGCGATAGCTCTGAGTAGCCTGAGGCACTAATTTGCTTTTCAAGCAGTGGTAAATTGAGGGGAAAGGTTCCCACTCAAGGCCCATCCCTGCAGAGTCAGAAAAAACAGCCTAAACAAAAAGGTACATCACCTCCTGAGTTAAATAAAAACCAAGGAAGACACTGAAATATGTTGGGACATTGACTGCATGAGAGCTTAAATCATTGTTTTCTGCTTTGGTCTCTCAGCGTTTGAATGGCCAGTACTGGATCAGTGCCTCCTCCAGTGTTTGGCTCTGGCAATTACAGGCGCCTGCGAGATAAACTGCACGGAGGCATCCCACACGCATTGTGTAGAATAGCACACCAGGCTTAACGTTTTGTTGGTAGCGAGAAACTAGGATTAGCTAACAGACCAGCTCTGACCCCATCTGACAGGGCAGGAGTGAACTGCTTCCAAGATTTAAATTGAGAGATTGTAGTTTGATTTCAGACCTTGAGACCAGTCTGAAAAATACAGGGGCCAACTGAAAACCTCATCCCTGAAAACATGAAGTGTCACAGAAATAAGACTTTGGACATTTTACAGTACTTCCTAATTCTGGATTGTACTCCTCCAATCAGCTTTCCACCCTATAAGCTATTAAACATTTGGGAATTAAAGGATGAAGACGGATTTCTTTTGATGACCTCGCTCTATAGGATTAAGATGATTATGTGATGTGAAACTGAGACAGAAATTAAACTACGAGACAAGCACTCTCCTAGAAGTACTGGTACTAATACGAGGGACCTTGCTGATGAACACACAGTGCCAGAGTAAATAGTATACACCCAAGGCAGGGAGAGGGGCACAAAAACTTGGGGGTGGGGGGAGCCATTCAGAGAAAGGTCAAACTAATATCTTTCTGGAACTAAGAGCAACAGTAAGAAAATGAATGTGCATTAACAAGAGCCTCCCTTCCCCAACTCAAAGCTGTAGAAAGTTAGTCTGCTTGTGGGCAGTGACTATTTATAAATTAAGAGATATGAGGAGTTGGCCTTAAGAGCAATGCATGTTGAGAAAGTCCCCCACTGCATTTCTCACGACCCTGGGGCAGAAGGATCTTTATACTCAAGAGAGTAAAATTTATGAAAAATGTGACTACTTTGCTATAGATAGAAGTTGGCTGACTTGCTTTAACCCATGTCAAGCCAAATGGAAATAGACAATTTGTTTGACACAAGGTTTCACTGCATGGTTGAATTTTTCTTGCATTTTCAAAATAAGAAAAATGGCAAAGCACTAAAATAATTTCAGCTAAAATTTATAATAGGATGGCTTCAGAGAAGATACCAGTGTTCCCTAGTTCTTAGCTTTGGTCCCTCTTGCTTTACCGACAGATGACTTAATCTTGCTTCATTCCAGTGGAGTTTAAGAGAAAAATGGAAACACAGAGAGACTAGGCTTCGGAATCAGCTGTTGCAGATGTGCAAAGATGTTCATAACAGGGTTCCCTATAAAATAACGCCAAAAAAAAAAATCCTCCTCATTATGTTCATTGTTGCCCATTCCTGAGCAGGGATTCCATGACGTCAGATATTCATGGTACAAGCAGCCAGTCTAGTTAACTATTTTTATATAAGAGGTTGAATTTTGGCTCTGTTTGAACACAAACAGGCTGTCTGGTTACACTGCAGAGGTAAGGCAACAGAATCCTCCTCCCGGGCTTGAGCATCTGCAGAGAGGGGCTGCATGCACTGGAAATTTGGTTGTGAGGCAAAGTACTTCAACAGGTAAATGGAAATGAAAAGAGTGGTACTCTAAGATGGAGCACCCACAAGGAACTAACTGCATGTGGACTAGCAAAGCCTGGAAAAGGATTTAGTAAAAAACTATATTTGAACATGCAAAGAGAAACAAGGACAATGCACCTGCGCTTCAGCCAGTGTTAAGTTGGAAGAAGCAGGTGACATTTGTGACTGTTCTTTCCACCAGTTCTAGCCCTTACAGCTACAAAGCACCTACAGGAAGGATCTGAAGTGCAAAACTATAAGAAAATAAATGCCCCACCATGAGATCACATTAGTGAGGAGCTTGTCTGTTTGGTGCAAAGCTCAGGATCAGCCTTCATGAGATGTGTGGGGGAAGATACTACAGGCTGCTGTCTTTGAAATTTTATAGCCCTACCTATATGGCCTTAGATAAGGAGCTGCCTCCTTATGACTTCTGCAGGGGAAGGCTGGAGACATCACTTTAAATTGTTTAATTGTGGAAACTTCCCATGTTACTCTGTGTGCAGTGACTCTAGACATGCCTCAGAAGGTTACCAGAGGATCATGGAAATGGCAGCAGGAAGCACAGTCCCATGCTACCTATTCTCCAGGGACCAGTCCAGGGCAGCTCCAGACAGCACACTACAAAGTTGTTCTTTTCTCCACAGCCAGTGTATAAATGTCCCAGCAACTGCCACTTCCTCTGGGACAGCTCATTCACAGCCCTGCACAGTTTGCTCTCAGGGGAGTTCTCTGCCTCAATTTTCCTGTTACAACAATTTATAGTTTTGGAGTGAGAGGCAGTTCAGTCACTTCTAGAGAGCAATCCCTGATGCAGGGGTGGGCTTTGGTAGGTCCATCCTAGCACTGCTGCTTCAGGAGTAGGATTAATCAGTTATCATGGCCATATCACATGGTGTTGAACAGTAGTTGAGACTTATGCTGTACACACACACCCCAGCACCAGAGTCAAGTCTCCTAATTACAGCAGCATCGTTGGACTAGCTAATTATAGTAGCATCACTGGCAGGACACAACAACCCAGCCACAGCCTGGGTCTATCAGACACAAAGCACGGGGGAGAACAATTAGGACTGCCTGGTAGGGAAGGAGAGAAACTTAAAGGATAAAAGACATCACAAGGACTCAAATCTTTTCATCACAACAGGACAGAAAATTCTCTGCAGCAGACTGGCAAGCAAAACAAGCAAACTGCACCAGCCAAACTTGGCAAAGGAAAAGGATAGACTTAAAATATTCCAGATTCCCTGGTGAGGCAGCAGTGAACAGTACTACCAGTGCTGTGACTATAATCCTGGTGTACAAACAGCTACCAGTACTTCACAGTTACCTTCCAGGCTTTCATTTACTAATGGAGATTTTCCGGTCTGCTCTGTGATTTCAGCAGTTTCAGGCTGGGAAAGGGTGGTGCAGCATTTTTAAAAGGATTAGAGCAGCACTGGCTCTACAGGTGCTCCACCACAAGCCATTTACAAAGACCCATACACTTTTACCCCGTGCTTTACAAGCAGATTAAACATATTCTATAGTCTGAAGTTTTGAGTTGAAGTCTGAGTTTAAAACAAACATGGTCAAGAGAACAGCTTGGCCCACTGTTGTGGGGACAAATACGAGTGTTAGGGTAATGATATTTGGATTTTGGGGAGTGCTGCATGTGCAGCTGAATAAAAGTTTTTTTTTCTGTGTCTCAGCAAAAGCTGCTGGTCACAAGGCTGGATGATATATTAAAAATAACTAACTGTGCTAATGCTTAAGCAAGTGGTTGCACCCTATCCTTTTGTTAGGAAATGTGTTGTGTAAAAATAGGATACAGACCAACGGCTATCGTTAGAGGACAAAGCAGCAGTACAGCCTTGGAGATGGTGCTGAAGTTAGCAAGAAACCACAAAGAACCAGCGAGAAATCATAACTGACTGGGAGAAGACGGGGGTCAGAGTCTTCCGCATGCGCTCTTAGCAGAGAGGCATGTAAATGAATGAAATGCATAGGCAATACCGTGCTAAGGAAGCAAACAGTAAACAGAGGCAGAGCTTCAGATGGGAGGAGAAATGGGGGGATCCGAAGGAGGGTCATAGGTGGAGTAAATGTTAATAAGTATGAACCTAGGTGTATAAACGTGGAAAGAACTATTGTTCGGGGCGGCTCCCTGGTTTGTTGGGTTTTTTTGGGAGCTAGTCCGAAGCCATCTTCATTCTGCCATTCTGAATAAAGCTGTTGTGAGCAATGAGTGCTGGTGTTTGCTCCCTGCTTGCTTTGGCTAATGACTAACAAGATCCACAAGCGATTGGATCGTCATCTCCCTAGTTGTTGGGCGCCGCATGGATTCAGGGTCTAACAATGACAATCAAATGCTAGCCAGTTACCCTGCCAGTCCGCCTTGCTGGCATGCACAGGTGGTAAGGAAACCCAGCCAAGGAGCAGTGCATCACACTCTCTCTCGTGAAAAAGAAAGGTTAGAAACATTTTTAAAAGTGGTTAAAATTGTCACCACAGAAGCGGCACTTACTACTACTACGATTTGCACTTGATCTTCAGCGCCGGTAGCCTGATTCTGCCTGCCTTACTCATCAGCACCGGCAAGATAAACTCATAAATTCAGGACTGACAACTCCCTGAAAACCTGGTGAAGTCTCGCAACCCAGCTCGTACTTCCAAAGCCAAAAACTGGTCGCAACACCACACTATGCAAATTTGGTTTGGAAAACATCAGCAAGCAGAGCAGCATAGAGGGGCTGCTTTAGTAGTCAAATCCCTAAAAGAGCATTTCAGTAGCTCAGCGAAGGGCACCTTGGGTGAGACGCAAGTAGACGGCAAAGCAGAAACCCATATTGAACAGAACAGGGCTTAACAGATTTGATGCAGGAACCGGCCAGCCAAATTGTACGTACGCCCTGACTGACGTGGGAAGCCCGATCCCATCGCAATAAGTTCTTTCTGGCCAGGAAGCATCATTCGGGCGGGCAGGGGCTGCCGTAGTAAGGGTGCCCGTTGTAACCCTGTTTCAGCTGCTCCTTCGTTTCCACAACAGTCCTCGGTGCCTCTTTCTGGGCCGGGGCTGCTCCCACTGGGAAGGGCCGGGCAAAAGGGCATTGTCCCCGCTACACAAACCCCGGGCTTAAGCCCAGTCTCCGGGCCCAGGGGCGCGGAACCGGCTGCGGCCCCT